CGACCCCCCCTCCCGCCTGCTGCCCCACGCGTGGGTTTCGCCCCCAGCCCTTTGCCCCCGTGTCCTGGTTTGAGCGACACAGGAGTAATTTCTCTTGCTGTAATTTTACTTTTTGGCAAGGTATCTTCCAACGCTCGGGGAAACTGCACCTTCAGAAGACTCCAGCGTCTGAATTGGTGAAAATATTTGCGTTATAGCCACCTGTGGAGTGTGTGTCTCAAGGGCTCGGTGTTTTCCAGCTCACCAGGTGCGGGGATGAGGAGGAACGAGACCCGGGCACTTGCCCCAAGCTGCCCAACAGGGTGAGTTCTTACCATGAACAGCACAGTCAATATAAATTAGAAAGTTTGCTGCGAAGTTCTCTCTTTCCCGTGACGGCTGCCATCCTGAGAACTCCTCGCCCCGGTGCCGGAGCCCCGAGCTCATCCCTTCCTCCCGAAGCCCCAGCGCTGGCAGTGTCCCACATTGGCTGTCACTGCGGGGAGCGCACAGCTTCTACGGATAGAATGGGCTGAGGATAATCCTCGGGTATTTTATATTGCTATCAGGATCAATTTTTAGTATTATTAATGTTAATTACTTAGTCTTACTCTGTTAAATCTGTATAAATTTCAACCCACGGCTTTCCTTGTTTTTTTCCTAATTTCCCTTCCCAGTGGAGGGGGGTCACAGGCTGGTAGAATAATTGTCTACGCGATGATAAATTGTTGTGGGTTCCTCAAACCATAACACCCTGGTACATGGGTTTTCTACCCGTGGCTCGGGCTGGTTAGGTTTGTGCCTTAACCCCCCTGGTGGGTGTCCCCCAGCAGTGCCGGACGGGGTATTTGAGGGTACGGAGGCTGCCTGCAAAGCTGGGCTCCCACCAATACCAACTCCTTTTTCCTCTCCCTTCCTTTCTTTTCCTTTTTTCTTTTCCCTTCCTTTCCCCCTTTCCCTTCCCTTCTTTTCCTTTTTTCTTTTCCCCTTTCCCTTCCTTTTCATAAGCAACCTAAACCACATCCCTCAGACGTGAGTCAGGGTTCAACCAGTTTGGTGCCTTTCCAAGGGGAGCTGCATGGCCCTGCCCGCACCGTTATCACCTGCTCAGCTCAAAGAAGGTCTGAGGCTCTTGGCTTTAATTGCCATTTCAAGAGGGGAGCATCGGCCGGGAAAGGCAGCTTTCCCACTGCCTCCCTGGGCACAGTGCAGCTGAACAGCCAACGCCACCTTCTTGTAGGATGCCTTTTCAAGGGCTTTTGTGTTTAGTAACATCCAGAGCAGCAGTAAGCCAGCCCATTATAATTATGTGCTGGCATGGAAATATTTGGCCACATGTTAAAATTTGAAGTAGGTCAGGCAGCCATCTGGTCTTGCTGACAGACCTCCCCGACCATAGTTAAAGATTCTCATTTTAGAAACTTTACAGCTTGGATAAAACCTGAAAGATCAACCATAAATGGATGTTTCAGCTGCCGCTCCAACTCCAGGGGTTAGAAAAACCACAGCCTGACATTTATGAGCTCCTGCTCTAAAAACAGCTAAAGCTTTTTCTACCAATAAAACCAAATAATTGTAATTCCCCCAAATGTGATTGTGATTCCTCCCACCCAAGAAGGCATCAGCAGTGGGGGCAGCCGAGGAGCCCATCTCCTCCACACTGTATGGCTCGCTCACCCCTTGGGGTGGGCAGTATCAAACCCCTGCAACAGGCACGCTTATTCTTGAATGAGAGAAAACTATTGTACCTTTAAATTGTTAAATTCCAGTTAAAAAACCCCCAACCCTCACAACCATACCAGCAGCTGCATCCGCCAAACAAACGCGTAGCAGCGCAGCTGAATGATCACCCCTCGCCCCGCGCTCACGCTGCACCCCAGGGCAGAGTGGCTCTCCCCAGGCACCAGCCCGAGGTATGGCCTGCAGAGCTCAGCACGATTGCAAAGTCCGGGATTTTGGGGCAGTTTTATGGCTCAGGTAGCTGTGCCTGCACCGAGACCACTCAGGTTGTCCCAGGACTGCTCTTGCCCAGCCAGTCAGCCATGCATTCAGTCAGACCGCCGGCGGCAGAGCCACCGAGTAAAAAGAAATAAGCAGGTGGAAAAGTTATTGCACTTGCAAGTTCAGGTGGACAGACACATTTCAGCCCACATAGCGGCAAATGAGAGACATTTCTCTGTCCCCTTGCCGTGCCAAGCTCGGCAGCGTAAGCCTTTTATTTAATACACATATCGCACTCCACAAGGGCTGCTGCTGTGATCAGCCGTTGAAAAAGTATAAAGTCACCATATAAGCCATAAAAGCAACTATTTTCTTTTCAGAGCTACCTGAAGATTTTTTCAGCACGGTATTTAGTTCCTTTTGTGTATTCACAGACCAGTAAAAAACTATCTATGTACACGTACTGTGGGGAAAGGATTCTGTTATGTGACAAGGAAATGCCCAGCAGAGGCCGTTTTCCTTCTAAAATCACATTCCTCATACCTTGTACTGTCTCTGGTTTCTCCTCCCCAAGACAGGATGCTTTGCTGAAGCTTCTCACCATGGCAGAGAGCTGAAAGCAGCTCCTGCATCCCCCGTAACAGCATTGCCCTGGAGCAGCTCTGGCAGACTTGAATTCAGCACATAAAATAACCTGGAAGCTTTGCATCAGATGAATGAAATGAAGAAGCTGACCTTTTTTTTTTTTCCAAACAGTTCACATTTATTGATAACAATAAAAAAATCTTTTAAAGACTATCTGTATTTTATTACCAAGAATGAGGTATTATGTATACAAAACATTTACAGAATTTGATATGCAGTTCATGAGTACAGACAGGAAAAGTGCAGAAGGACACTGATAACAGGAAAAAAGCCAACAGAAGAGTCATTGGCTGAGAGAAGGAAGAGAAGCAATAATATCACACAAAAAGACCAGGGTATGGGAAATTAATTAGTCAGACTGCAGCGATCAAGTCATATTGCCACAGCACTTAGCTTAGAGGAGGATTAACTATTGTTTTTCTGGAATTTTATCTCCCCAGCTGTTTGTGCTGTCATGTGCTTTGAGCTCTAAAAGATGTGTTAAGATTAACAGCAGGAAAAACCCAAAGTGCCATTTTTGAGCCAGCTCAAGTGAAAAACAAAATACAGATCTTCAGACTTGAAAAGTGACTGCAACTCAAAAAGGTCTACAAAGCCAGACACCTCTGGACAGATGTGGAGTGTTGAATGAAGCAGTTTCTTTACAGTTGTCAGCAAAATCGCCATCTGAGAGAGAGAGAGAGAGAGAAAGAAAGGGGACCTTCAGCCCTTACAGCCTGGTAAATGGAAAGTGGCATTTGCAAAGAGCCATGAGTGTCATTAAGTTAAGCTCACTGTGCCTTCTGCTGCCCTAGCTCCCCTGCGCCTGGGAATACTGGTTCCTGCACATCAAGAATCAAACCACCTCTTCAGCCAGCTGGGCTCCTCCGAGGCAGAGAGCTCAGACCAGCAGCCCGAGAGCCACCACGCACAGCTGGCTGCTGTGCGGACGCCGGGTGAGGAGCTGCTTGACACCAAAGCGGTGGCCTGTCTCACACAACAGCCCGCTTTGGCAGCCTAAGTAACAGTCTAACCTCCACCTTTAATTTTTAAGTGCAAAAAAGACAAAATAGACTAGTTTCATTCAGCTTAAGGAGACTGGACTCTCAACACCTATCTGTTAGTAAAATACTACTTTGTCAGCTCTGTCTGCCCCGTTCCACAGCCTGAATTGGTCCACAGGAGGGGTGCTCCTAGTCAGAGGTTAGTAACCTGCCTCGCAGAAGACTTGCAGTCATTAAAAATATTTATACTGAGTTCAGAACCAGCTTTCCTCAAGCAGGGCATCCAGGATCTTAAGCGAGTTCTGCTTTGAAAGTGCAAGACCTCCGCAAGCTCCTCTACCACTTACCCATAACAGTGCTGACTCCCCAACGCTTAACAGAGCCTATCCAGCTTTCCAGCAGGGACTGCAGCCAGCACAGTAGCTCCTTTTTGCTTGGATAGATAATTTAACTCTACGAGGGTGAGGAAAAGACCAGGCAGGGTCTAACTATGCAAATCCTGCTGCATTTGAGACTGAAATCCTCTCTGCTCCACTGCCAGGTATGGTCTGTAGCTGTCTGCTGACAGCCTTTTGCTCAGCACTTCAGTCCTCTGTGCCTTTTGCTGTGCGTGGGAGAGGGGGCTCGAAGTGGAAGAATGCCTGAACAGACTTGAACAAAGAGAGTTCAAGTAGGATTGCTTGGGCCTGGGTAGAATAGGCAAATCCAAAATGGCAATTCACCACTGGCAGAAGCAACAGTGAAAACAGTCAAGCAGGCCCTGCTCAGAGCATCTTCTGCTGTATCGCTTCGAGTACGGTCCCTGCGCTCCCTGCCTACACTAAAGCTTCCACTGATCAGAACTCAAGCGTTCTGTTTCTGACATACACAGGGAAGGACAGGAAGCAAGAGGGATTGAACAGTGCACAGGAAGGATGGAAGCCAGACCTCTTCTAGACTGATTTAAGAAGCAAGCTTAAGCTCTGCATAAATTCCCGATAAGAACAGAGTCTCAGTAAAATCGATTCACATGGAGTGTACTCAAGGAAGTAGAGCAAAGCTCCAGCACAGAGGTGGGAACAAATCCTCAGACCAATTCTGGATCAGGCCAGCGTGACACAGTGAGGGAGAGCCTGCTCTCTGCCTCTCTCTCTGCAGTGCTTCAAGCGCAAATCCAAGGAAAGAATGAATTGCTTTAACCCATCAAGACCCAGAGCTCAAATTCCCCAAAAATGTGCTCATAGAAAAGGTATTAGTGTTTACAGCCTGGCCACAGCTCTGTGGACATGCTTTGAAAAAAATGGACTCACAAAGTCAAGTATCCAGCAACTGCTTTTCTTTGTCTCGGACATCACTTAGTGGACACAGCAGAACAGTTTGCAGCACTGGAAGATCACAGGGGATTTCTTAAGATGGCAAAGAATGTCCTGACAGGAGACTTGCAGTTGATCTCTAATGCACTACGGAGCATTTTTGGTAGGGTTTTTTCCTTTTTTTTGCTTTTTAACATTTACACAGTTAAAAAAAAACTATTCTTAACTGATGCACTGGTTATTTTTCCTTTCAATGAGAGCCCTTGTGTTCAGAGTTAGGATTTGTGCAAGCACACTTGCAGAAATATTTATGGCTGAGTTAGGAGAAAAGGGTTAAAGTTAAGAGACAAGCTGTTGGATCTAACAAGGACCAAAACCACTAAGTTTAAAATTCAAACAGCTACTTTACTATCTATAAAAGGCTTTTGTGGGGAGGGGATTTTTTGCGCAATTGCCAGTTGAATACGCTGTATTGCAGTCAGCTGCCACAGGTGAGGGTCCAGCCATCTCATCCATTTGCTTTTCATCTGTTGTGGCACTACCTGGAAATCATGGAGCTGGAATGGGACTGGCTAGAAGAAGTGGTGGCAGCACTGAGCTGGGAGAATCCACTGTGGCTTGATTCAAGGCTGGTCATAGATCCCCTGCAATATAAAACAAAGTAGTTTTAAGCTTCAGAACACAAAGATTTTGCTTTCTGCTATGCATCTATATTGCATTTGTTTGCAAACTGAATAAAAAGCAAGTAACGGTTTTGGTGCAGATACTCAAACACTTTTCTGCCTCACCACATAAGATAATGGGGACACCAAACACCTTGCAACAAACAGGTGCTGTTCAAAGAGACTGAGGACTAGTTTCAGTCAAATATATCAACTGTCAGGCAACTGAATTGACTCAATTCCATTTTGAGTTGCATTCATTTCTACAGACAACCAAGCCCAACAATTCACACTATGCTTTCAAGGCACAGCAAAGTGACCAATGATGATTACAATGAGGTAACTAATTAGCACCTTTTATATATTAATTGCCCCCAGTACCAGGACTGGTTGAATTTTTTTGTTTGGGTTTTTTTTTTTTTTTCTTCCTAGGGCTGAGAAAACAGAAGTCCTCACAATTTACTCGTATTTAAGCAAACCTGACACTGGCTCGATCATCTAAGTATCAGAAAGGTTTGACAACAGCTGATCTTCATGAACCTTGGCCAGACATACCTGAAATCTTCAGATCCTATTACTTCTGTATAGTACATCACTTTACATTTGTGAGAGGAGACCTGTAGAGATGCTAGTACATCATCCACACGAGGCAGGTTGGTTGTAGCACAGGCAGGCATGCTATGAAATTTCCATTGGAGAATATAGAAGCCAGGCCACCTGGTCACATGCGATCCCTGGAAGCAGCCGCAGCAAAAATTGAAAATTAACTTTGTCAAAACAAAGATTTGTAGGCTTGAAATTTCTTTTCCAAGCTTAGAAAAACTACCTACATGCCCAGAATTTTTTCCCCAATGCCAGTATTTCAGCTCCTCAGCCAACTGGCAGCACTGGTCAGCTCTCCCCACACAGCATACTTATAAAAGTTATGATAGAATGCCAGCGGTTCCACCTGCTTTTTGACAGTGTCAAGTGGTTAGGATTTAAATACACTAAAAGGACAAAGTTCTTGTTTAGAACAATATCCATTTTTTTATTTAGTTTCATTAACAGCTGTCCTTTGAGACTGAAAAGAACAGTCAAGGTTCCTGCCTCACAGAAAGAGAAAGAGCAGTTCAAGAGGTCACTGCCCATATTTCCAGTTTAACACTTCCAATTAGATGACTTAAGGAGCTCCTTTTTCAAAGGCTGTTCAACTCTTATTTCAAGTCAAAAGGAGTAACAGTCACAGAGTGACTGTAAATGTGCTGTATATAATAGCAAACTTGGTAATTAAAGCATAGGTTGCAAATGCCATAAAAAACCCCAAACTTCATGAATGTTGGCCATTGGGAGCTCCTTAAGTTTAGAGGGAAAAACACACAGAAGCTCAGTCTTAATTTCCAGGCTTCTGTCATTATTGAGGTAAGATACTATGATACTCTTCAAACACAGACTGTTTGCTTCAGAAAATAATGGTCAAAATTACAGCGCAAAGCACGTCTTGCTACTTTCTGGATGTGCACTACGTTCTAGCTGGCTTCTCTATATTCCTTGCTGATCAACCTCAATCACTATTAGCCTGATGCAACCTCCTCTCACAGCAGATCCCATGTAAATACTAACTCCGTTCCCCGAAGCATGCAGCTAGGAACATAAGCTGAAATGTCGGCCAAAAGCAAGCAGACAGTCCGGAGCTGAATCACCATTCAGTCATCAATGATAATTGTGAATTAGAACATCTAGTTGTTGGAGCTCGCTTCCATCTGCTCCCGCACAGGCATTCAGTGGTCTTACCTGCACACTCTCCCCTTCTTTGCAGATAAGGGGAGACTCCACCATGCTGTAATCACGCCCCAATTGCCAGACTTTGTCTATCAACTGGACATTGTTCCCACCAGGAGATGTAATACTGTGAGCTCCCAGAGAGTCCTTTTTAGGAGGCTGTGGGGCTCTCTTGGAATGAAAGATGTTAAAAACGATGTCGCCCTTGCACACATCAAAATCCCATGTGATCACAGATGAGGCATCCACAATCTGAACAAGAACCTGAGACAGAAAAGTCATATTAGACAACAGCAATTTGCTCAGTAAAGACCGAAACTCTTACCAGAGAAGCCGACAAAACCCAGAGGTTTTGTCACTGGGCTTAATTTAGACTTTCAAAAAGGCAGTGTAGACACAAATTCTCTCCTGATGGAGTGTCCTTATTTTAACATGACTTTCAGAAGCTCTCAAGTAACTTTTGAGAATATAATTTGTCTTTGCTTAGAAGGACACTGCTTTGAATGGAATGAAAAACAGTGATATTCTCTAAATGACAAGAAGATGATACCAGGAATGGTCACAAACTTCATCTACTAAAGCATCACTATGCATCAGAACTATAGAAGAACAAGGTGGAAGCATGGCAACTAAATCTAACCTAAACTAAATCTAAAGAGATGGAATCCAGAGCAGAGGGTTGAGATGGAAGAAAGACAGGCTGCAATCGTACCTCATGCGGAGCTCCTTTGAAGACACTTGCAGACTGGTAGATTGTTTCAGTCCAAAGCTTTATGTCTTCATTTTCCAACTCTTCTGCTGTCCGGTAGAGGGACTTGGGAACCAGCCCACCCTCTGGTACTTCACACTAAAAGCATAAACAGCTGTTAAAAGCTATCCCCTCTGTACATCCACACCCTGTCATGCTCTCTGTCTGCTAGCTTCAGAAACAAAACCTCACATTTAGCAAGTACTCTGAACAACGACATATGAACAGAGTTTGAAAGTAATTTTATAGCTTGTACATCATACATACAGAAATTTATTTTATAATGATCTGGTGTAGGTGAGTTTGCAGAACTAGACACCAGAGGAATAGATCTTGCATATGCACAACAGCTATCACCACAGAAAATGACTGTGCAAATGCTATAGTTATCACTCATCCTGCCCTATACTGAAGAAAGATGTGAGCCACTTAGGAATCCCGAGGAAAGTGGTAATAGCAACTCAGTCTAAAAGGTATAGCCTATAGAGACCCGAAAGAACTGGGGTAGCTAAATTTAAGCACAAAGTAAGTTTCCAAACAGGTAAAAGGATATTGCAGTCAGGAAGGTAACAGTTTTCGTTACAACTGTGTTGACAGCTCACTACTGGAACCGATTACACAACTTCCTTCAGCAATCATCTTTTTTAAGAAGTCTCTAGTAACGAAGTTAGACAACTATCTGATCAGGAACAGGTTCCATAGCAGTGTTTAGGGCAGTAAAAGTGTTTGATAACTGAATGACAACAGAGAATTGAAAGGATCTTTTGAGAATTCACTTTTGTTCAAACACCCAGAAGTAAAGATGAAGAGAAAGTGACTCTATTACTGTCTGTGACTGGCAGGAAGTACGGTAAAAATTTGCTTTTTGGTAACATTGACTTTTGGTTACTTAAACAGCAGATTTTGCCAGCTTCTCAAGCTCCAAATTAGATAGCACAAACTTTCTTCACTGAAAGTTACTGCTGCAGCAAAAAGCAGCCCACTGAAGATAAACACATGCTCTACTCCAACACATCTAACAGTACTTCATTATAATTTGAGACTGTACTTGAACAGACCTAGATTAATTTTCAAGAATGGTACAGAAGTTAATCTAGAAAGTGTGCATGGGGGCTTAAAAAAGCAACCCTGAAGTTGTATTTAACACAGCTGAGTTCAAGAAAAAAATCATTTAAGTTTTACTGTGATGGAGGCTCTAGAAAATGCCCAAGTTGCACTCCTACAACTCAGTCACACCAGTGAGCCTGTGTTGTCAAAAACGTTACAGAGAAAACAAACCTTATGGTATGATGGAGATGTTAAAATGACAAATTCAATTGACACCCATAGTCTAGGCAGAAAGCAGCTGTTAAGGCACATGACAAGGGACTGAGAAATTACAGTATCCTGCAGTAAAACATTTTTTTTGTTTGTTGTGGTCAACACACATATTGTGCTAGGAGACCTGGCTGTTTGTTAAGCCCTCCTTGCAGACGTGCCACATATTTCCTAGGGCTTCCTATGGTATCAGTTAGTTCTTTTAGGTGACACACACTTCTGAGTAGCTGATGGTGACAGCTCTTGCTCAGTGCCATGCTACTGTGTCTGCTTGAACTTGACAGGTAACAGAGACTATGGCTTTTAACCATGCCTGGCTACTTTAAGAAGTTACTTGATATTCATTGTCAGGAAGTACTGTATTTCTCTTTTTAAAGTGGACCTGAATGAACACACGAAGGCTGGAATCCTACATCGTAGGCCCCTCCCCTCCAAACTACACTAGGAATCATTCTGTGCTTCTAGGCTTCTTTGTTTAGCGGAGCAGGGGAATAAAAAAACTCAGAAATAATTGCTGTATGCACTAGTTTATATTCATACCATGCACTCTCCACCAAGAAAATCAGGGATAATTTCTTTATCGATGTAATCCAGCAGTCCCCCAGGACCCTGGTAGTCATTGCCAGCATAAATAAGGAATTTCTTTCTAGTGTTGTCATCAATGAATGGACTAACCTACAAACAAAGAAAAAGAGAACAGATCAATTTTGAAGCAATCAGTTTGATTGCATTAACTATTACCATCCTTGTTATGCAAAGCTGACACTAAAAAGAAAATTAACAAACTACGTAAGCAAGTTCTTAAGTAGTGTTTTTTAATCCACTTCAGGAATCCTATAGAAGAGATGTTTCCAAATGGTAACTTTTCCTGCGCATAACACCTGATTTCTAAAGTGTTTTTACAAACTACAACTGTGTAGCAGTGTACTGAGAGTGCTGAGGAATGCCTTGAATTACAAACATACCAGTGTCCAAAGAACTGGGAATACTCGAGGTGCTCTCAGGATTAGAAGGCGACCCAAAGTCTCAGGGTAATTAGCTTCAACTACCTCAATGATTCTTAGCAACGCTTTGACACCAGGTCTCCATAAATGCCGCATGTTCAAGCCTTCTAGATCTACTAGACAGGTCCAAGAGCTGAATTTGAGGAAGACAAAAAGAAAAGGAAAAATCTCAATGGCACCAAAATTCTTATTTTTTATGCAAGTGTCCAATGTACTGAAACGTGCGGAGCCCACTGCATGTTTTGGTTTCTTCTATTTTACCTCCTTGCTTTGTGCTACCTGTAGACACTGGTGTTTAAGATCCTTAGAAAAGTCTTAGAGTGGGCCAAGTACAGTTACAGATTACGTGCAAAGCTCACTTTGCACATCATGCATATTCCCCCACAGACATTTCAGACCCCAGGTGAAGGTTAATGTGAAGCCAAAAAAAGATCCTGTCAACAGCTAGCACAAATGTTAAGCCATTGCTTCTACTGGGAAGTCAATTAAGTGGTCACGCTGCTATGAAGCGATTTAACATTCATGGTGCAGATTTCCTACTAATACAGTACAGTAACAGTGCCATTACATGTCAAAGCTAATTCTGTTGTCAGATCTCTGGAAGGGAAGCTTTTTCTGTAGGAAGAGGTATGTTCTTAACTCTAAATACTGAGCTTCAGCATAGGCTTTATTTTCCAAGTTCAGGTCTCACCCTGGGCTTGAATTCAAGATTTACAGCTGTGCTGCACCAGCTAGCATCCATGAAATTATGCTTCTGTGAAACAGCAAACACTTCTTTGTTTCACTTCAAACGTTTGGTATGTAGTCCTTTAGGATTACTTCTACAAATCAAGATCCAGTACACAGCACAATTTCATAGTTACACACATGAAATCCCTCTCTTGGATTTGACCTCCCACCGAGAGCTAGGACAGCAAGTTCTTTAGCAGGGAAAAGATAAGCAGACATACCATGCAACCCTGAGCCTTTACAGATTAAGGGAAGGAGTCAGAAATTGAAGAGAGTCCAAGAAACACTGTTTCTTTTCAGAGGCAGTCCTGCATTCATTCCACACCCTTAAATCCATTTTGCTGTTAACACTTTCGTAAGTGACCCCTACAATGACTTAAAGATGGGATAGCAAGCCATTTTTGACTGAACTTCACATGAAGTCATGCCAGTACTTGGAAAACTAGACCCCAGGTTTCACAGGAGCTTCGTGACCTTACCATGGATCAAGAGTTGAGTAACCACATGTAACAATTGAATAACATAAACAAGAACTGAGTGTGATGAGCCTTGGTACGGACTATGGATGAACAAGTGACATGAAAACAATACCTGAAACTATTGGAAAGGTTATCCATGATATTATCATGGGTTGATTTTTTCAGCAGCCTCTACCAACATCTGTCTATAAAATCCCCCAGACACAGAGATGGGAGTTAGGCTGCATTGCTTTGCAGACATCCAACAGTAGAAGAGAGTAGAAGCATAACATACCCCACGGAGAACCCTTATGAGCACGACGCTGGACTGCTAGAGCAGGTATTGTGTTTCCCTTAGGCTTGACCATGCAGATTAACTCTACCATTAATTGCAGAGGCTCTCAGTTAACTGTATCTGCATGTCAGCCACACACCGTACCCTACGCTTGGTCCATTTAATAAACATTGCTCAGCAGCACCATGTTGCCTGATGTTCCCCCATGCACACCATGAAACCAAGTAATTCCCAAGGGGCAGATCCACTTGCTGTATTTTACCTTATTGGCCTGCCAAATACTTTCGTATTCTCCTCACATCGCCTCAGTCCTTCCTCATTTATTGAAAGAACCTGTACAAGAAAACACGTTGTTTAGAGAATACAGTCTTAAACTCCATAGATGGGATGAAAAAAATATTATTATATCCAAAGACTAATTAAAACTACAAGCTCAAACCAGCATAAACCTTTTTCTCCAAAGAATAAACTAGAAACCACATTTACACCACTGGTCGATCTTGTTGAAAAATAAATATGCCTTTCCATAAAAGCAGCAAAATGTAAACAAGAATCTCTAGAAAACTGAGACCCAGGAGTGATACAGACAAGAGGTCTCCCTACACTTCCGCCCCTTTAAGCACAGATTTCCCCTTTACTCAGAAATTAAATACCCTTTTTAAGTCAAAGAAAGTAACCTTGAAACAGAACTAGGGCAAACAAACAAAATCTAGTATGTGGCTGGAAATGCCACTGGAACAAAAAAAATAAAATCCAGCCCCTGCTTCTAGTGGTTACTATGGTCGTGACTGCCATTACTAGGAGTCAAAAAAAAATATTACTGCAAACCTGGAATTCTGCCAGCTTTCTGCTTGGAAACTGAGCAGATCCACAATAACACAGTCTGAGTGATGCTTTTAGAGAAGGCAAAATTACAGGTAAGTACTATTTCTTTAAAAATAAATTATTCTTATCCTTGGAATACAGGCTTGACAACATCGGAGCATGGCATTTTCTCTTCTGTACAAATGCAGAGACTTGAAGCACAGCACAAACTGCAGAAGAATCTGTGAAAACGCTAACCAATAATTATAGGAGCTGCCAAGAACTACGCCTTTCCGCCATCAGTTTGCAGTTGGAAAGAATGCAGAAGATCAGCTACCAGGAGCTTTCAGATGTATTCAAACCAAAAACAGACGGCCAGAAAGTACATCAAAATATCCAGAGTGATGAATGTTCTGGCAGAGGAGGAAATTTCTAAATGAAAATATCACATTGTTCTCAACTTGCTGGCCCCAAAAATACTTACGTATCGAAGCAAGGCCTCTTCCCCAAGAGCTCGCACTAAGCCTTTGGTATCCATCTGTCCCAATCTCAGCACATACAGCGGGCGACCATCTGAATAACAAGAACAAATATATCAACATAACCCTTATTTTTACAGCAATAGACAATTCGAGTGAGCTAGTTTTATGCTAAAAATCCAACAGGAAACAAACCATAGCCAGTTCAAACTTTGTTGTACAGCTGGAAGAGGGAGAACCTGAAGATGGCGGCAATATAAACTTTACTCTGTCCAGCTACACCAAAAGATTGCCTGGAAATAAACTGCACAAGTTTAATGGAGACATCCTGATGCAAAAATAGCTCCCCTATCTGCAAGGAAAGTTCAAAGGACTTCAACAAGTACATTGGTACACGCAAGATCGTGGTACACACAATTAAAGACACAGGACTATAATTAGCTTTGAGGATAGCAGAGATACAGGAAAAGCTTTAGTTGATAAGCGTAACTAAAGACTTGCACTGAAGGCTGTAAACCTTCTATCACACATGACTCAATACTGCTTACAGCAACGTTTTTGGAAAAGTAGATACCCTGAGTTCTGGGAATTAATGAAACACTGTGTTAACCCAGAGACTTGCTTTTTGCAGTATTTGCTGAAGTCACACCTTTCAGCTATGTCATTACATACTATGCGGAACTGGCACGCAGCCTCATTTATGCAGGTTAAGCCTGGTGAGAACAGACTCTGTTCCAGAGATCAGCTTCAGATGGACCCTCTGCATTCAAAGCTTTGCCTTTTCACAGTCATCTTGCTGCATATTGGAGCATCTCAATACTGCCCAGAATACAAAAGCATTAAGCTTAACAACTGCGTTGGCTGAATTTAAGAATCAAAGCTTGCATTTATGGCTCTTCGTAAGAGGAGATAGTTGTCTGAAACAGCTTCCATCCTCCTCCCAAAGCTGTGATGCAGTTTTTAAGCTTCGCTCCATCTATTCTAGTACACAAACTAAATAATCACCAACTTATAAAACTGAATATGCTAGGACACAAAAACAAAAAAAATGAGCTTTCTACATAAAAATCTCCCTGAAGTCCTGTTGCCTGATTAGCTTCACTTCCCTCCAACAACTGCAAAGAGAGGTATCAAATTATCATTAAGTCCTTTGGGACACAAGAAAAGAAACTGTCAAGATATGCTATTAAAAAAAAAAAACAACACAACAAAACGAACAACCAAACCTGCAGACTCAAGGCAAGTTATTTATTTGGCAAAGACACTACCCCCATGAAAGATCACAGCCTTTTGTATTTTATCAGGTGGTCTAAAAGAAAATATTGTTTTAACATCAGCACACACTTGTCTTGGAAGGTACTGTTTAGCTTTTGAAACACTAAACAAAGTGCTATTAAGCTTCATAGCAGGTCTCCCTCCCTCACAGATGCACTTGCATCCAAAACCAAACTAATAGCTTACTAACCCTGGTCCACCCAAATGACACATGAAGGAAAGTCTCAGCTGACAGTGCTCTATTACCACTGTATATTTTACATTCCATTAGAGCCTTGTGATTTAAAAAAACATTTGACTGAAGCATTCCTGTCAAAATAAAAGCCACTCAGATGCAATTAGCACAGTTTTCTATACAAGCCAAAAGAATAACTTTTATTCTTTTGCACTAATAGCTCATTCTAGACAACACTGTTCATAATCACTGCTGCCTTTGCTTTAACACTAAAAGCTATACAGAATTCAGCTAGCTTAAGTTTGGCACATTCAGCGCATGTAGGAGGAAAGGAGCAATACTAGAAAAGAGGGTTTAAAAAAAGAACCTACCAGTGTAAAATTTTAAATTATATAGAATTGCTCAGTTTTGAAATTGTTTCCATTATTGACAAACCCATGCTTTACTTGTGAGCGTGCTGCAAAAGAACTGGAACTGGAGGAGAAGGGAGGCGAGCACGAAGACTGAAGAACTTCTCAGAAAAACATTAAACAACCCTTTGATGCATTCTGTACCTTTCTACTCACTGGCAGGACCCAGTTATGTGCTATTGACAGAGGAAGTCTTTGCAAAGTAAGGACAAAGAACTGACAGAAAGGAAGAACTAATTCACAGGTTTTTTTCCCTACAATCTTTACAAGCATATTCTTATTTTCCATTTTCTCAGTTTGAGGTCTGTCAAACCCAACGCATCAGGGGACAGCCATTCAGGCTCTTTGGCTTTACAGTGATTAAGCTTCTGCTGTATCGTCCCCTGTCTCCTGGCCACTACAGCTGACAGCATCTTGTCCTGTTTCATTTGCTTCTTGTAACAGGAAGAGCTAGCAGAAACAATGGTGCCTAGTCAGGGAAAAGACTAAATCAGAACACAGATAGCTCACAGTAAGAGATCATTTCCTTATCTAAAGAGCCCAGCTTCCCTCAAGCAACAAATTCCAAAACGTTTCATTTCTGTGTATGTATTAGCAGTAAGATCAGTGCACGATAAAAGCAATCAGAGGGATAGGGGAGCATGTCAGGCATAGCTGTCCATGTTTTAAAGATCTGGCTGTGGCTCACCATGCAAAGGGAACTTAGCCAAAGCTTCTTCCCTTCTTAAATAAACCTGCTCTATTTGATGTTTTTCCAACATCCCACTTCTCATCATTAAGCTGATTGTAATGCCAAATAGGTATTCATTTATGCCATCAGCAGACTTATACAACATCAGAAACAAGTTGATTAGGAAGATACACTTATTTACAAACATCTTTTAATCACTGAAAGAGAATGCTCTGCACTTGCATAACACACTTCTAAGCATTTCAGAGCACTACAGAAGTGCAATTAACTTTTTTAAGCTACTGGCAAAGCAGAGCTCTTTAGAGTTAAATTTGTCATTCAGAAAGATTGGGACCTAGGAGTCTGCCTCCACCAACTACGGAGCTGGCAACATCAATTTAAATGCATTCAGTACACAACAACTGAGAAGTTCTAACCATCTTTTCCAGTCATCTCTAGCTAACAGAGGGACAACTATCACCTTTAATACAGAACATAAAAAGACTGTTCAATATCCACCCTATAGAGCATACCTTTGTCATGGTGATGCCAGCCTCCTGCATAGTAATCTTGGAGTACTTGAGGAGGGTTCCATGTGTCTAGAATGTAGTCTACCTGGTGCTGCTTACGCCATGTCAGCGACTGGCAAAGGATTTCTCTTGCTTTATCAATGTTGAAGTCCCGGGCACGCAGGAATCTTAAAATGTGCTCATCCTTTGGGATCTATTTAAAAAAAAGACAAAACACCCCAAACAACATAATTTTGTACTCAAGGTTTGAAACAAGAACAAAAAATCAAACAACCGAAGCTGAAAAACATGCAGCCCTGCATCACTGCAAAAGGATGGCACATGACACAAAGTTACTCAAGCAAATCAGTCTTTGTTTGCGACAAAAACATGATCCCTGTCAGGTACTGCAGCTACATTTATATAAGGGATATAAAAATTTCATGAACTGTAATGTAATCATTTACACCTGTATGACCATACTAAGCCAGTCCAATTTAAAGGAATTGAGGGACAAAACACAGACTGTATTCATTGCCAAGTAAAAGGAAGCTGAGACACACATGCAAATCACAAGCCAATGGAAAAACCCCAGCCTTGCTATCAGTGATTTAACTGGCACATTGCTTCCTTTTCAGTACTGCACTTAGGGATACAGATTTGAGAATATAATGTTTGGCCACCAAAACAAACAAGGCAGAGTCATAAAACTGATGTTATTGCCCTGGGCTGGTTTATTGACATGCTGAGAGGCAGTCAGACTAACCATTTAAGCACTTCAGCTGGCACAGTCAGCTGGACAGTCACAGTGAACTATTTCTATTACCATTGTATAGACTTAATTTATGTTTTGATCATGGAGGGCCACTTAACAGGAACTGTTAGTCCCAGGAGGCGTAGGGCGATGTTTCATCAGGTCCACCTTGCATATCACACATTGAGATAGAGCCACAAGAGGCCAACAGTAACTTACTTTGCCCTTGTGTGTTTCCTGAAGCCACTGTCTCAGTCGAATGAGGCAGCTTTCCTGCATTGGTGTCAAGTCACCCAGATACCGCTTGATGTAGTCTGCGTCTAACTTGTCTAAAAGGAGATGTACACGTGGTTAGAGTGGTCCTGAACTGACACAGTGAAAGTAGCAAATGATCTTCTATGTTGAGATCTGAAGCAGAAAAGTGACTGCTCTGTTCTGCGGAGTCAGAATTGAATAAAGTTTCTTGAAACAATGAAAAGATGAGCAAAGGCAATACATACAGTTATCTTAATGGTAAACCAAGAAGAGCAATTCTCCTTCTGCAACTAAGAAAGGAATAAACTCAGACATTTATAAAAGCATTTCACCCGTATACTCAGATTTGTCAATCCACAGCTTATGGCAATACTTAGAAAAGCTTTGATCTAAGTCTCCCAGTGCAAGAATTTTCCCAAATTCCCTTATTAACAGGGGAAGGAAGATACAACAGAAGACTGCGTACAGGAAAGCTTCAGTCCTTTCCTCCCCATTATTCCTATAGTTATACCCATCCCTGAATTTCAGGGCAAGAAGTAGGCCATCCATTTGAAACCTAATGAACAGCAAAGTGAAGAGTTTTTCCACTCATATCTGACCTTTATTTACTAAAAAAACCCTCAGCTCATAACAGCTATCCAAGCTATCCCACATGTTACCGCTTTGCAAGCCCGCACTTCAAGATCGTATGTTGCCAAAGAGCCAATGTGAAGATTTTCAGCTGTTCATGAAAAGCAGCACAGTGCTGAGAGCCTCTACAGTACAAAGAATCCCACTAAAACAAGTCAGAGCACCATACCATCAGGCGTTCCTGCTGTGGGCTCCGAGGGGCTGCCTGAGGTGTTGAGGATCTCCTTATTGTTCAAGCCCTCCTTTGTGGACAAGTCTGGTATATTAATAGCAGGTGAAACTGGTCGTCTTGTGTGGGATGTGCTGCTCTCCAATTTACACGCAACAGGAGGAGTCCAACGAGGAACGAAAGTTATTCCTTCTTCTTCCAGCTGCTTCAGGTAGTATTCTATTATTTCTTTCCCCTTCAAAAAGGAAAATTTACTTCAGCTACTAAAAATATCCATTTAGACGGAGAAAGGATTGGGCTGGAAACCCATTAAGTGGCCAGACCTCTCTAAAGACTCCACTTGAAAATACAGACATGCTGCCCCACGCTAGAGAGCAAAGACCCCAGGCTTTTTGAGCACAGCAGCCTGTTACTTAGCAGCAGCTACTTTGTCTTTTGGTAACTTAGAGCCAGGCACCTCCTTGATGACTGCAAGCTCACCTTTTTAATATTGCTGGTGTACTGCTTCATGGCAATCTTTTCCACTGTGCTTTCAAAACCAAAAAAAGATTTTATATCCAGACTTGCTGACTGTTCAAAACACGTCATGTCTTCATTGTCAGGATGAACCTATTAGTTAAAAGGAGGTCATACAGCTTAGTTACCCATTTAGTATTTTTTTCCCCTCACAATATTTGAAATGACTGTTTCTTGTTTTACAAGTTCACATAGTCAAAAACATTCAAGTGGAATTTGCAGACTTTTGCTTCATTTGCAAAACACAGTTTGGAAAAGGTAACACTAAGGAACAAAAAGCTGAGAAGCCCTCCTATAGTCTCATGGCTAGCACAGCACATTTTTTCCTTAACGAGGAGAGGGCAGAGAAATAGCAGTGCACCAGCCAAGAGCCAAAGGACTAGGATATTTATACAATTAACACTATTTCATTCTAGATATGGGCTGTGACTGTAGTGTGTCTGTGGAACAGGGTAGAATACGCCACAGTGAACTTTCTGCTGCTAGACAGATAGACCAAGGCCAGCCAGCTCAAGGACTGCAGCAATTACAGTGTAAGCATTTCTGAGCACTGCAGTCTAGGTACGTCTGCAACAGGCATACTGCAATAGACTGTTCCCTCACTGACCTACAAAGTATCTTAGTATTCTGTAGACTGAAAATTATTTACTTTGCTCTCCTATGATAAATGCCACAGAAAGAAGTGTAAACTTCTCATTCAGTTGACAGCTGAATAAGCTATCTTAGAGCACTCCCAACTTTCTTCTTAGCTTGTATCTTAGTTTGCTGAGATGATCCTGAAACAGAGATGTTACTACCCTGAAGAAAGGCTGTTTTCTAAACTCTTTTCAGCTAAAAAAGACTTGTCTAAGGAATTTCCAGGCTGGACTCTGAATCTGTGGTTATAAAAACATCATGGAAGACTGTATTTCTGAGCATGCAATTGTCTTGATGCCTTAAGGTTCCCCTCCCCCTCACAACATACTAAAATTGATTGGGAACAGTATCAATGCTTTATAACAACGTAACTACAGAAAAACAAAGCATTTCCCATCATTTTCTTCTTCTGCATTAGGGAATGGGGGTAAAAGAATAGCTGGTACAGCCTAAATAAATACAAATCATAATAATAACATTCAAGAATCTTTCTGTCATTTCATAAATTCAATTATAAAATAACTTCAATAATAACAAACTTTTAAAAACAATTTATTCTTGAATTAAAATTCTGGTTTTGTATTTACCTACTAATTTCTTGATCAAGTAGAGCAAGAGCAAGAAGTGTTGCGTTTTGTACATATTTACCAAATGCACTTTTCTGTATAGCATTTCCCCTGTTTAAACAGAGCTTTCACAGAAAAATTGCAGGTGGAAAAGTATTTTTGAATGTGCCTTGGAAATAATTGCAGAAATAATAATTAAAAAAAATAATCAGATAATAGTGTCAAGCAGGTTTGACATCCAGTGACCTTTTAACCATGGTTCTGTACACAACAGAAAGTGTTATCACCTGCATGTAAAAAGAATGCTACAATACAAATAAATCAGTTACATTTGCTAGCTTTGATTTGACCTTTACCATTGATTTGAAGTTTCACTGCTATATATGTGCTGTATGAGCCTATCAGTATTGGCTAAGCCATTCAGATAAAAACATGACCACAGCATAGCCGTCAGCCTGCCACCAGACTCCTTTGTACCAGAAAACATCTGCACTGAAGACCAAGAACGATGGAAAAAATTAGGCTAAAATACAGCTGACTTGATGAACATTTGTCTGAGCTGAGCAGAAGGCAAACAAGCTACGTCGAACTTTCCTTTATCAGTTCTGTCAGGGTATTATCAGCCTCACCAAGTCCCACACTGCCACTACAGACCACAGAATTGCCTCAACAGAGCTGTCAAACACAGCAAATTATGTTGTGTTCTGCTCTCTGAGAAGATGCTCAAGCAAGAGGGTGCCAAACTTGTTTCAGTTCTTCAAGCAAATGTGTTACCTTTAACACTAACAACAATTACCACTCATGGTAGTGCATTGGTTATTTTTTCTTACAAGGAAAAAGCCGAGAACAACCCAACTTCTGTTTATGAGTCCTGGTCTAAACACTGACTTAGCTCCATCTGTAGCACCACCAAGAGCCTGTTACTCACTGTGTAACAGCAGTGTTCATTAATAATGACTCTATTAGAGAAGGTTTCATTGTAAGCTTCTATATGCAACGTCCTTTCTCGTCTGTTCAAAGAATTCTTCTGGACAAAGTAGACATAATCCACTCCTGCAATCTGAGGAAGATGACACAGACTCTGTTAAGATACAATGTTCATGTAAAAGGATACCCAAAAGTATAAAACAGGCACTGCAAACCTAATCACCTTTTTCAATAGCCGCGGTGCATCTATATCCAGCTTACAGCGCCGTTCAATCACATGGATAGCTTCATCCTCACTCTTGTATTCATTTACAGTGTCACTGGCTACAAACATAGGTATCAGAGGACACGTAGGAAACCTTCTTTCATATGCCTGTAAAGATGGAAGGAGAAGAAAATAAACTGTCATCACAATTAACTCCTGAGGGTGTGCGTAGCGTTGCTTCGTTGACATCACCAGCATTTGGAAGCACAATGCCCTTCATACCCTTCGTAGAAGGGATTGAGTCTTCCTAGAGTCCACATTATAGCTGAAAAAAGTCACAGTGAATTCCAAACAATCCATTTATTAATACATTCCTAATATTGCCAATTCTAGGTAAAGCAAGTTTTAAAACACATGAAAGACCCCATTTTTCCCCTCCCTGCAAAAAGGAAACTGTTCATTACATACAATGACAATCCTCGTGTCAGCAATAACAGAAAAACAAGACCCTCTAGTTTTAAAATACCACAAGACAAAACAATTGTGTTGGATTAAAAAAAACCCCACATGCTAATTATCGGTGTTTCACCAAGCTGTCTAGAGGGTTTTCCGTAGAGCTCCCAAAGGTCTAATAAAAACATTTCAAAACCTATTTCTTAAGCTAATAGAGCTCTCAAGCTCCCTGTGCAGAGTACTCATAATGATTTCACTGCACAGTTTATCAGCTTACAGTTTTCTCCAACAACATACAGTAAGTTTTTCCCATACAATGAGGCCATTTCATCCTCCTGCAAATTTAAACTTTTTGCAATAATGCAGAGCTAGCTATAGCTTTGAGTCTGGTTAAAGAATATAGTCATGTAAATAAGTTCATCTCAAATACCTGACAGATGCAGAGAAGATGGTATTAAATCAGGCACGCTCAGACAGGATAGTTAAGAACCTGGGAGCAGTAAAACAGGTAGGAGGAAAATGGGAGTTATCCCCATTTGCACATTTGTTGAATTTTAGTTTTAGAACCATGGTGGCTAGAGAATACAACATAACTGTAAATTTTTTTTTCCTTTTCTTTCATAGTCACTAGTGTGCATCAACTTCTCTTTGGCTTTTTTTTTTTTCCCCACATAGGGTAGCAGTAAAGTAAGTATTTCTTTAGCCTTCTTTCCATAGTCTGAAGTCTTTCATTTTTGCCATTATCAGAACCCAGCTGGCTTCAGTGAAAAGGCAGGATTTGCAAGGTATCCCAATGCAGAAGAAAATTTCAGTAACAAAGTAAATCTGAGAGCAGAACATGAAACAATTCTTTAAAAGAGCTGAAATATGCACTCTGTCCTTTTAGCTGATTTTAACTGCTCTGAATATAGCTGGGCTACAGCAAAGGAACAGCACCAACAGGGAAGAGGGTGTGGAAGAAAATAAGCAGCAGCTGCAGAAAGTATGCAATGGTGGCACTGGAAGAGAAAAGGTCTCTTAATTCTCCCTTTATAAGAATTAAAATACTTAGTTTGTTACCAGTGTTCAAACACAGTCTGAATGCAGTGTTACTATGGTGACAGTGGTGCAACGCACTAAAACAGTGTCAGCTTTTTTCCCCTCACGCGTATTTTTACATCATTTTTGCAGCATGATTGTCCTGAGTTCATAAAGCTCCTCTGTAATGTACTAGAAGGAAAACCAGTGAGTAAGTACACATGCTCCTTTTCTCAAACTTTTAATCTGTGCACAGATGGTTTTGTTTAAATTAAGAATAGAAATAATTTCTGGGTTCAGAGATGTGTGCACAATAGAAGTGACAGAGCATTACTGTTGTAACACAATAGCAAGCAGTGAGAAAAAACCTTTCACAGCTCCAAGAGAAAGGGAGGATGGGTCCTATTAATATGGTATAAGAAGTTTCTTTTATGAGGCTCTTGTTGTCCTGGTGAGAAGACTGTATATTTTACAGTCATTCAAGAATCTCTCAGCCTTCTCACTGAATAAGTCTCAGCATTCTTTCTAAATTAGTCCCTATTTTAACAATATTGACCCTAGTTAAATGTTGTCCTAAGTTAGAAAAAGAGAATACTTCCAGAAGAAGCAGAATTGAGAAGTACTTCTGGATTTCTGATTGCTTCATTTAATATTTTTATTTTATTTTGGGGACCTCATGTTACAACAATTATTTTATAAGCAGGAGAGAAGGGGAAGTAGATATCTAACATTTTTCTCACTATTTTAAAAGTCTTTTTACTTTTGGATCACAATGAATTTTCCCCATCTGAGTAGTCTCCTCTGCCAAGCCTTTGCAAGTCTTCTTCATTGCACATATTGATGCATTTCTCATCTTGGTCCTCAAAATGCTTTCCATTTACCTTGTAAACACTTGCAAATTACAACATTACCTGCTCATAAGTGTTTATTGAACTGTGAGCAAAAAAATGCCCAAGAAGAATTTGTTGTTCTGAATGGGAAGACTGAATTGAAAGTGTTCAATTTGAAGGAACAAAATAATTATCTGCCAAAAGTTGGCAAGCTCAATGCTTACAGCAACAAAGCACTTGAGGGTTTCAAAGAGATTAACAGCAACACAGGATTCTTTCTCCCTAAAGAACATGCACACAGAGTACTGAAAACTGTTCACAGTCATTTTATTGGGCTCTTAAATTAGGCTGGTTTTATTTCTTTATGTACCATTGCCAACAGGTTCTTGTAATGCATCATTTCTCAGCACAGCCTTGTTTGAAGAAAAAGTGATTATAGTAAACCATAGCCACATCAAAATATTCGATCTGATTTAAGCACAGCTGTCTCTTCCACATATGGCAAACAGTTCTCTTTCATGCTGCAGAGTAGGCAGGAAAAAGCTGCTAAAGACTATAGGATACAAAAATCTCACTTCACCATAGACCAACACAGCACAGGAAGAAAACCTGTAATTTGTGGTACAAGACAATAAGAGACACATGAGTCAAAGCAGCACATGCATCCCCATGACTGGAGCTATTAAAAGAGCATGAGAAGATTAAAGAAAGATCAAACGCCGATTTTTCTTTTCCAATAATAGAATTCAATGAATTTTTCTGCATCGTTGGGGTGTTTTGAACCAGAAATTTTGTCTCAAGTCCAGCTTTGCAGACAGGAAGTAACTGAACTGCATTATCCAGTATTCCTTTAGCAGTCTGATAAAGCAGAGCATGTTATAAAAGATGTCACACATTTTTGCTGTATATGTCTCTCTGTACAAATAAAATCATTAGATAATATGCACCTTTCTCTCTGTACAAATAAAATCATTAGATAATACACACCTTTCAAGATTTCAATTTTACTGTACAGATACCATCACAAAAGCCAATTAGTTCCTCAAAAGCAAAGCAGCTGCAGTAATCCTGATGAACTCAATGCAAGAGTGAAATGCTGTTGCTGTAGGACTAAACGCATCCAAGTAGGATGTTGCAAGAACGTTACTTAACTTCACCATTTTCTTCTGTCACATTTAAAAAAATAGGGGGTGTGGAGATTCTGATATGTAACACAAGTAAAAAGCGCAGGCGTGCTCATCCTCAAAGCCTCTACAATTGGTACTGGGCTTGACATGAAAAGTCACAACGCCTCTCTGGCCCAGAGAGACATCTATGTACAGACCTTTCAAAAAAGTGATTTTAAGCCTGCAATTCTGTTGTTCCCTAATAATGTACTTTTACAATTTCCCACCAGCCTCTGGGAAGTTTGTGTACGCCGATACATTAGAAGCTGGCATTGTGCATCAAGAAAAACACAGTATGGTGAAGCAGCTTGAACTTCAAATTTAATGGACTCATTATATAAACCCTTAACTTTCTTAATGCATGTTAACAGTAAGAACACTGACAAGCATAATTTCCACCAAAATAGCACTGTATTAAAGCTCCTTTTCCAACTGCTTCCCTTAGCAACTCATGTTCAGAGTAGAGTCAAAATAACGGGATTTATTTTACTTTTATCTTTGCTAGTATTTCAGCTGTATTTAAAGACATGAAAGCAATTCAAAAGTGAGACTATTTTAAACCCATTGCAGTCATTTTTCATACCCAAGGAAATTATACTTGCTGCTGCTGCCGCCCATAGATTTTGGGCTTCTAATATCAGCAATAACAGGATCCTTTCAAAATACCACCTTTAGAACAGCACTTAGGCATGACCCCAACCCAATTTTTAGAAGGACTAAAGACACTGTTTGGCTTTTTCCTTCTCAAACTATGCCTAGGGCTAATAAAATACCTTGATAATAAGCATGTGCTCAGTCCTCAGTGGAGAAAGTCAGTCATTCATGTAAATAAGTTACTCAGCTTCTCTGGCCAGATTAATATATTCCCAGTCTCATGCCTTAAAGGATAGGGCTTGTTCAGTATTTCCATTAGATGACTCAAAACTAATTTCTATGCTTACAAGGAGAAAAAAGATCTGACAAGACTTGCAAGCAATCTTACACTGTGCTGTTATTCTTAGAGTAGCTGAACCCTCCAAACAGAACTTCTAACCTGGTGAAATAAGTAGGAATTTTAGGTACCGTTCAGAAGACGAAGCATATTGAGTACTTTCTTAATAGCTTAGTTGCATGAAACAAGTTGTGAAGATGTTTTATTTTTTAAGATGTTTTCTGTTCAAAATTGCTAGAACAGTAACCCTCTAGGAGTAGCCCAATATTTTCCAAGGGCACCTCAACAGAACAGATGAAAAGATTCATCCCAGCAATCGCATCTAGTCTGCTGCACTTCGTGTGGGCCACATAGAAACTTTAATTTCTGCCTGCAATACCTGACTAGGTTTGGGTACTAATCTGCAAGCCTATACCAACATTTACCACACTTCGAGTATGTGGAGTTTCTGAATTATTGCCAAACACACAAGAAAGAAGGGTCACTCAAGCAGGATGCATTCCAGCAGCTTCATCAGTCCTGCCTATCACTGTACCCCCTTCCTCCCCCTGCAGCACAGCACTGTAGATCAATAGGAAGAACATTGACTCACAGGAGGCCAACCAAGAGGTTTCAAATCATTGGCAGCTGCACTTGGAAAGAAACAATTCTGGATTAAGCCTCACAAATCAGCAAATACCTCCTCATCCCCCATACACTGTTGTTCATAGGTCTTTACCATTCTCTTTATAGTACATACATATGTTTACAAATCATTATACTTCTACAAAG